GGTTTTTGGCTGGAGCATACAACTTCGCAAGGTGGAGAAAGTTAATGGGTTTTGGAAGTCAGCACCAGCACACTTTTGGTTTAAGCCTGTATGGAGCTCACAAAGAAACATGTCACCTGTAGTTAAGTTCATGAAGATTACAAGGGTATTCCTATGAAATAGCCCACATTTTGCATGTTTGGTGTGTTTAGGATTTTGTTTACATTTTTTTTGATATATAATACTTATTATATAAAATGTCATCCACTTAACAATCCATGATTAAAATTCCAACTGAATAAAAAAAAAGAGCGAAACACACACACACACACACACACACACACACACACACACTAATAAGCACTCTAGTGTCAAAATCTAGAAGTAATCTCACCAACTACAAGTAAATGGAATCTGGGAAAATCAGCAAGTTGGCGCCCATGCTTTGCCTTGTCTACTTGTGAGAAGTACAACAGACAGGAGATCCCTTGTCCCTTCACCAGACTTCCCCTTGATTTGGAGGCCCCAAGTCTTCACCAACTACAAAATGACACAGACACTGCTTTCTGTAGCTGCTAGAGTACTACTGCCCTTTCTTCCCCACCCAAGGATACACACATGCACACTTCCTCACAGACTGCTTTCCTGTACCTATGCAGAAGGCACAACTCCCAGGAATGACAGAGCAGAAAGTTGGGGTGAGGAAGGAGGGCAGGGGTAAACATGGCTGTGATGTCTGCATTTGGTGAGGCATCATTCCTGACATTAAAGTCGTGTGGGTTGGAGCAGAGAAAGGGATCCGTGGTAGTCGTATATGCGGAGTGTATCAATTATGACATACATGCCCTGGGTCCCAACCGAGGGCCACCAGGCATCGGTGAGGGTTGTCACTCACTCCTTGACTGCAGGGCTAAATGAGCAGTGAATAGGGCCAAGGGAAAACTATTCAGTTCATCTGCTGGGTTGTGCAGAATGTGAACAGCTCCTCACTTGACAGTGAATAAAGAGAAAAGCCCACTATCAGGCCTAATTTTTAAAAATCCTGCAGACCATGGACAGGTAAGTCATGGCAATCTGGTCGGCTCCAAATAGCAGCGAACTTTGGAAGTGACTTACTCTAAAAACCAGAAAACATTTAGAGAACCTTTGGTGTTCTCTGTAGGCTGTATGGAGCCATGTCCTCTAATGAAACCAATTGGAAAGTAATAAGCATAATGAGATTAAAAGGCTATTAAAACAAAATTTAGAAAAGCCCTAACGTGAACAGAAGAAATTAGAAAGAACTTGGTAAAATATGTATAGTTTCAAGGAAACTGAAGCTTCGACAGCCGTATTAAGAGGTAATCAGGATTGGAGCGCCTGGGTGGCTCAGTAGGTTGAGCGTCTGACTTCAGCTCAGGTCATGATCTCACATTCTGTGAGTTTGAGCCCCATTTCAGGCTCTGTTGTGACTGCTCAGAGCCTGGAGCTATTTTGGATTCTGTTTCTACCCTCTTTCTCTCTGCCCCTCCCCTGCTTGCACTCTGTCTCTCGCTCCCTCTCAAAAATAAACAAACATTAAAAAAAGAAGTAATCAAGATTGTAACTAGGTGTGTTGATATACATTAACTAGATTAATTGTGATCATCTCTCTCTATATACATATATTGAGTCATTATGTTATACACCTGAAACTAATATAACGCTACATATCAATTATATCTCAATAAAAAATAGGAGATAATCAAGGAAATCTGAATATTGCTGGATATTTGATGATATTAGGATATTTGTATTATATTTTTAAGTCAGCAAACTTTCTCTATAAAGGGCCAGGTAGTAAATGATTTAGGCTTTGTGGGTCTACAGTCTATTTCTGCTACTCTGCTATGTCACTATAGCCTGAAGGCAGCCACAAACAACACATGACAAATGGCTGTGGCTGTGTTCCAATAAAATATTATTTATATAAAAAAAGAATCAGTAAAAAGGAAAATTAACAGCAGAGAAAGTCTAATGCATAATGTCAAACTTGAGAGGTTTCCACAAAATCTAGAAAAGAAAAACAGAAGAAAATGAGGGAGGAGAGCAGACATAGACGAATAAGAATAGAAATTGAACCTAAGAGGACTTGGCATCGTGGAAGAAGAAACTAGAAAAACTGAACAAGAACTAACAACAAAAGCCACAGCTGAAGAAACTTTACAGAGATGGGGAAAAAGAAAAAAACGCTCTGTATACAGATTGAAAGGATTCAGTATGACTAAGCTAAATTAAGGGGGAAAAAATGTATCCATGTCTATCCTGACAAAAGTTTTGTGTTTCCAGAGACAAAGAATATTATTTAAGGATGCAGGCCAAAAACAAAATAAAACTAAACCAAAGCAAATAAAGGAAAAAATTAATTTTAAATGAACCCAAATCAGACTGACCTCAAACTTCGGCAATAATAAATATCAGAAGACACTGGAGCCGTGTTCAAGGGATTCCAAAGGAGAAAAAAAAAACATAACTGAAACCAAATTATATTACATTCACGTGTGAGACCATATAGCACAATGGTTAAGCGTGCAGAATTTGGAGTCAAAGAGCCTGAGTTTAAATTCTAGCTACCTCACTGATCAGTATGTCCTTGGGCATTTCACTTACACGTTTCATAGGACAGTTGTCTAAATTAAAGGCGAAAATGCACACAAAGTACTCAGAATGCTTACTAAAAGCCATTTGGACTTGGTAACTGCAGTGGAAGTTAGAAGTTGAACTCAGATCTGCCTGAATCTAGAAATGGGCTCACACACCTTGTTGTCCAGTCCTGACGTCTCTGACTCTGCGTTGGGAGTTTGGCACTTGCCTCTGTGATCAGAATTATGGCACCTACAATGGTAACTGGAACCCATTCTCACATTCAAATTGTCAATGGCTCTTTGAAGGTTCCAGGGTAATGTAAAGACTATGGAAGAAAGAAAATATTTTATTAGAAGGAACTTAAGGTTTTCATTGGTCACATAAATCCTATACACCACTTAAATCAGGCAGTGTCCAGTTTCAATGCTGACAAAATTTTCTCACAGTCTCCTCCTCTTCCTCTCAGCACCATTCAAGAAGGGGCAGGAGAGTTTCTGGTGCCATTTGATCCAAATGCCTTATCTCATATTTGATAGCGTCTAACAGCTCTGAAGAAGAAATGTACAATGAGGAAACATCAACAGAACTAGCATCCTGTTGTTGTATTGTTGTGGCTGTTTTTCAAAGGGTCAGAAGATACAGTAGGCAGAAGCCTGGCCCTCCTAAGAGGAGAGAATTGCAACAGGCATAGAAGACAGGAGTTTCTTTTATTGTAGTTCACCTTCAGATCTGCGCTAACATCAGATCTTTGCATGATTATAGATATTTCTCGAGAGTGCTGCTTCTCCAGCTGTCTTTTCCCTGCAGAGCACCTCAGCAGTTGATAAAGTCATCAGCTTATCTGGTTTATGGTGCTGCATACCTATGTCTTATCTATTCTTGTGCCCAAAGTGACAGGAAGGTCTAGAAGCTTTACTTTCTATACCAACCATAGACCTTTTCTGATCTGCGATGTCGTGTATAGGGAAAGTTTTATGAGGTATAAGCAAAACAGACCAGTTGCATGTCTAATGAATCATTTTTTTATCTTATTGTCACATGACATTAGACCACTTCTAGAAAATCCAGGGCTTCTGTATCTCACAACTTACTCTTTATATTTGCTTGACTTCTGATGGACAAGGAGGAGATAAAAATTCTTACCAGGTACAGTTTGGTTGCTAGCAACAGAAACTGCCTTTTGCTAACATAAGCAAAAAGAAATATTTTGAAAGGATATGGTGTTATGCAAAATCTGGGGGAAAATAAAAGTTTGGAAAAAAACCAGGATCCCAATTTTTTTGAGAGAGAGAGGGAGGGAAGGAGAGAGATAATGAGCAGTGGCAAAGGGAAAAGAAGAGAGAAAATCTTAAGCAGACTCCATGCCCAGCACAAAGCACGATGTGGGGCTCGATCTCACAACCATGAGATCATGACCCAAGCCAAAATCAAGAGTCAGACACTTAACCAACTGAGCCACCCCGGCACGCCCAGAACAAAAAATTAATGAGAAATACAGAGACAGAGAATGGGAGAGAGGGAGGAAGGTAGGGAGGGATGAATGGAGAAAGTGATAAATAAATAGAGATTAATTAGACAAGGTGAGTCACAACATTGGCTAGGGTAGGGTATGGGACATTGATTATAGTCCCTCACCCCAGAGAAGAATATATTTGTATACAAATGGAGGGTGGGTGTTAGGCAAGAAAATACATGTGACTTTCACTACCAACGTGTTCCAAAGTACTTACCAGCCTTAAATGACTCTCTGTCACATGCACGTATATTGCTTAATGCAGTTTCTGCTTGGGATTTCACTAAATGTTGTCTATTTGCACTCAGCACCCACTTCTAACCCCTCCTGTGTTTTTTTTCCTGTATTGCAATACTTCCCACTCCTGGGAAGGCTACAAAAGAATATTTGACACCAACCTTCTGGAATTGATTTAAGTTCCATCTGTGAGATGCAACCGCATGAGATTTGAAAGGCAGAAGGGGCGGGGAGGGACATTTTAAATATTTATTTTCCTGCAGTAGTAGCCATGCCAGACCCTGGCAGGCATCAGTTTTTCCAGCAGCCAAAATGGACCTTGTACTGCCTAGTCACCAACCTCACAGTCATGGGCAACTGAGACATCAGTCAGAATTTCCTCAGGACTACATCTGCTAAAGCCTGATCCTGAGCAGAACAGTAGATGCCAACCTCCACTCTACTGAGCCTGCGATAATTTTGTAAGCACCCAATTTCCCATATGAAAGCCCTTTCTAGTAGAGACCCCTGAAGTAGTTTCTGTGTCCTGAATTACACCATGAACGATACAGGTATCAAAAGGCTCCCTCAATATCACTATCAACATAAACTTTGACATTTATTGCACATTTCTTCCAGAGCTTCTGCACTGACCACCAATACTATGTGCTTTTTTTTTCCTGCACAGATGGCAGAATTTTGTTGAACTGTTGAGTAAAGCTTCCTCCAATTTGCCACATGATTTGCCTACAGGTGAGTTGGGTTACTTTGTTCCTTGAGAGACACCCGCCCCCCCTCATTTCCCAGAGCTACTCTTGACTCTCCAGCTTTGCTGCGGTGGTTTGCTTGTTGGCTTTCGTCTCACTGCTCCCAGGAAAGTAAATGGCTCACCAGTGAAGAAAAGGCAAGAGTCAGAATTGCCTCAGTGGCTATTCTTGTAGGCCAGTTGGGTCATAAAAGGCATAGTCCTTCAGGTTTTGTTATATCATGAAACATTCTCTAGTGACAGCCCTTTAAGATGGATAAGGCACACTTATACAAGTTGACATTATTTATTAGAATTCCTAAGGGCACAACCCCTTAGGTCTAGGAATCCTTCAGCTAGGTACTTACCCTACCTGCATCTCACAAAAAAATAAATAAAATAAAATAAAATAAAATAAAATAAAATAAAATAAAATAAAGCCTATTGCAATATTTTTTGGTAAATGCTTCTAAAAATGGAAACACAAAAAAACATTTTTTTACTAAAAAATAAGAATGGAAAACAATGAAAAATCCTTTCAGGGACAATTTAATTAGATTACAGTCGATGCAATTGATAAAACTACACAGCTGTAAAATAACATGGCTGGCCTAAATACAGGAAGATTTCCAAGACATATTATTAAGTGAAATTATAAAGATGAATTTGGGCAAAATATTTAGCAATTAGCGAGTTTTAAATATGACAGGTGAAAAAATATGCATTGATACTAATCTGCTGTTGCGATTTCTCTATTTACTACATCCATCAACCATTTACTAATTACCTTTTGGATCAAAATACAAGGTACCAAAAGCTTGAAGGGATTGGGGGATTGGCTGCACAAGCATTAGGAGATTCAAAGAGCAAAAAGAGAATGGTGTGTGTAGTTATTTCCGCAACACGGTGCTGTAAACTGGGTTGCTTACAATAACGGAAATCTATTCTCTCACAGTTCTGAAGACCAAAAGTCTGAAACCAAGTAGGGCCATGCTAAAAGCTCTAGAAAAGAGTCCTTCCTTACCTCTTCCTGCTTCTGGTAGCTCCAAGTATTCCTAGGTTTATGGTTGCTTAATTCCACTCTCTGCCTCTGTCTTCACCTGGCCTTCTTCCCTCTCCGTCTCTTTCACATCTCTGTATCTGTATCCCCCTCTCCTGTTTCATATAAAGACATCACTGTTAGTTGGATTTAGGGCTCTCCCTAATCCAGAACATCATCTGAACTTGATTACATAAAAAAGACTTCGTTTCCAAATAAGACAACATTAATGGGCACCAGTGGTAGCTGTGTTAGGAGACACAATTCAGAATATGACAGTGGAAGTAACCCAGGTATTAGTAGCTGTAGGAAGCAGCTATCATCCTTAGGGCTAAAGGAACACAGACAAAGGGTACTAATAGCAGGATCTTGGCTAGTATTCCTACCTAGCTGATTCTAGGATCTCCGAGAATATGCCAAGCAGCTAGAGAAAGAACTCTGAAGGAGGCGCCACACAGCTAGTTCTTGGAACGCCACATAGTTTGAATCTCAGTCCTTCACAAATGAGGCTGGTGCTTGGATTTCTGACAGAGCACCATGTGGTCAATACTGGGCCCACTGAATGGGATGTGCTGTAGCTGTTAATCTGAATTTTGAGTTTCCATAGATGATTAGTGCTGAGATTGGTGAAAAGCATGATAGCAATAGCTCTCCCCTGATGCTGGACAGATACTGACTCCAAAAACAGGAAGTTAGTACTTCTACTCCTCTCACATTCCAATCTCCCTCCAAACGTCTACCATTGCTGGAATTCAGCCTAAAGCCAGTGGGCCAGGGAATCTGGGAAATGTAGTTGTAGATCCCCAGCCCACCATTATAGAAAAGAGACAAAAGGAATATGCTAGAAGACAACAGAGTGATCTCAGGTCAGGGTTCATTTTTCATGGTGAAGTCTATAACCTCAGAGAATTCACTTTTGTTGAAAAGACAAAACAAGTACATCAAAAGATAACAAATATTGGGGCACCTGGGTGGCTCAGTCGGTTGAGTGGCCGACTTCGGCTCAGGTCATGATCTTGCGGTCTGTGAGTTCGAGCCTGCGTTGGGCTCTGTGCTGACAGCACAGAGCCTGGAGCCTGTTTCAGATTCTGTGTCTCCCTCTCTGATCCCCCCCCCCCCCCGTTTATGCTCTGTCTCTCTCTGTCTCAAAAATAAATAAACGTTAAAAAATTTTTTTTAAAAAGATAATATTTACATTTTTTAATGTTTGTTTATTTTTGACAGAGAGGCAGACAGAGTACGAGTAGGGAAGGACAGAGAGAGACACATATAATCTGAAGCAGGCTCCAGACTCTGAGCTGTCAGCAGAGAGCCCGATGTAGGGCTTGAACTCACGAACTGAACCGTGAGATCATGACCTGAGCCAAAGTAGGACACTTAACTGACTGAGCCACCTAGTCGCCCCTCAACAACAAATATTTAAACCGAACACTCTCTCTTTCTCTAATATAAGCCGGGTCATTTGATGCATCAGTTTGCTACAGTAGCTTAAACAATAGACATTTATTTTCTCGCAGTTCTGGAGACTATAAGTTCAAAGTCAGTGTCAGCAAGCTTGGTTGCTTTGAGGCCTCTCTCTTTGGCTTGCAGATGGCCTCTTTCTCACTCTATCCTCACATGGTCTTTTCTCTGTGCGTGCACATCCCTGGTGTCTCTGTATGTGCCCAAATTTTTGTTCTTATAAGAACACCAGTTAGATTGGTATCCTCATTGTAATGGCCTGCAATTGAACTAAATCACCTCCTTAAATGCCCTGTCTCCAAATACAGTCACATTCTGAGGAACAAGGGTTTAGGACTTCAACATAAGAATTTGGGGGGACAGAATTTAACCCATAACATATGGCATAGAAAACCGTATAAAAATAAGGGTTGAAGTCACACTTTTACAACTAAATAACCACCTTATATTGGAACTTATTTTACGTATCTTGGACCCATTTTTCTCATCTGTAAAAAGAACAGAAAATGTGAAATAAATGAAAACCTGCCCTACTGCTCTGACAGGGCTAAGTGTGAGTCTGACAAAAGTTTTTAGGCAATGTTGCATTCTGCAGAATGACAGGACTTTGGCAATGCTATTGTGGCATTGTTGTTGTGATGGCCTGTTGCTTACTGAGAAAGTTAATGCCTTGATCTCTTCCCATTCTGTATTGCTAGAGCTATGCTGATAAGTGCTCTTAGGCCCTCAGTGGGGGGGGGGGGGGGTTCATTTTATCTCCCATTTTTCTAGTTCCACAGGTGAGTGTTATGAAAGGAAAGAAGGTACTTTTTAAGAAACTAAAGGCAGCTACTCATTTTGAGTGTGAAGAATTGTGAATTTTCTCATTCCTGGGGCCTGTTTTCATTCAAAGATTCTATAATAACCTATTAAAATGATCCATGTATATATACATATACGCCTTATATCACAAACTTTATCTCATTTGGACCCACGAGAATCCTATGAACTCGTTTTTTAATGTACACATGATTATCACATAAATACTTAATATCTGTGACTTATGCTAAGATACAGAATGGAATAGTTTACAGCAGACCAAACCTGTTGGAAAGATCAACCCGAAGACTAGATAAAAGACAGAACGGTATTTCTCTGAAAGCTATTATTTGGAATTCAAATTGAATATCATATAGAAAGGAGAAAAAAAACCTGGGAAGAAGTTAAAATCATATAAAATCTTTAGAATTATTCATACAAAATGTCCAGATTTAATTATAAATAATCAGGAATGATACAAAAGAGGAAATGGATTTTTAAAAAAACTGTAATTAATATATATAAAAAATGGATAAGATGGAGAATCTTATAAAAGGAATCTATAAAAGGAATCTATAAAAGGAATCATATGGAATATGTAGAAGTAAAAAATATAAAAACTAAATTTTAAAAACTCAATAGATGTGTTGAACACAAGGTTGGGCATAGCTGAAGAAAGGATTAGTGAACTGGAATATAGTTTGGTAGGAAATATCCATATTGAAGCATGAAGGAGAAATGAGGATAGAACATACAAAAAAGTATGTGAGACATACAGGAAGCAGCAAAAAATCCAGTATACATGTAATGAAGTCACAGAAAGATAGGAGGAAGAGAATAGAGCTGAAGCAATATTTGAAGCAATTATGACTTAGAAATTTCCAGACTTCAAGCCACAGATCCAAGAAATGCTATGAACTCCCATTAAGACAAATACAGAAGAGCTCAGACCCCTCCAGACATGCTACGGTATGAGGTCTAAAATAGTATTTCACAAAAATGAAGTATACCCAAACCGAATCTCTTCACTATGGAGCCTGTGAGTGAGGATGCGGAAGAAAAAGCAGGAAGCACAGAGCAGGGCTATAGCAAAGCTGCTAATGGGGGGGAATTGGAGGGAATGGCTGTAGCCTCAGAGGTTCATTGATCCCCTCAAACGTCTCTTGAAGACCTATCACTCAAGATAACACAGAAAAATGACTAAGAGTTTAACCTCCCTTTTTTTATGGAAAAAATAACCGAGTAATTCCTACTTAGAACTATTTATAGTTCTAAGAAAAGCCAACTCTGTTGAGACAGTAAAGAGGTTTGGTTTATCTAAATGAAAAGTCTGGCAGCAAGAAGAACTATAAGCATGGTTGGATGTAGTCATTTAAACGTTAAAATCCAAGATTTGGTTTCTTTCTGGCTCTCTGCTCTGCTGTACATGGTGCTGGCATCATCTTTAGGCTCTACCTGGTGGTGCCCCAACTACTCCAGGCACTTCTTCTGCGGTAACAAAATAGCTATGACAGCTATGCTCATCGCATGTTCACAGCACTCTCTTTTGGACCATCCTTCCCAGAGGAATTTCGCTAGCTGAAAAACCGTAGTGGATGTCTCCACTAGCCTCAGACACTTAGGTTGGATTTTTATGTCCACCTTTGAATCAAGACTGTGATTAGGATAACCATGATAGTCTTCAACTAACCAGAGGCCAAGCTTGGAGTTGGAACTGGGGGTCATTCTTACCAAACCACAGCACCAGGATGGGGGAAGAGTGGTGCCCACCAACCAAAATATTGTTGCTATCAGTAGAAGGGGATAATGAAGAGAACAATCACCAGAGAAGAAATGAATGATGGAAGCCAAACTAATAATAGTAATAATAATAATAAATTCCAGTCACCTGCATGGCCCATGAGGCCCTTCAGTTCTGTTAATACTTAACCCACTTCTCTTCCCTTTCCATCCCACATCAACAAGACTCCCCTCTCAGCTATTGCCTGAATGCACCAAACATTCCTCCCTCCCTTGTGACCTTTTGTCTTTATGATAGCTTTCTCCTGAAATGCTCTTTCTGCAGACATTTGCATACCTTTGTCCCTTGTTTCTCAGGACTATTTGAATGTCCCTTTAAGAGGCCTTTGGTGAATTCACTCCCTAAAATAGCAACTGCCAAGACTTTCCAACCCCATAATTGGCTGCAGTTGTGTTTCTAGCACTTATCACTACTTGACATTATTTTACATATCTATCTGCGTGCCCTCACCACTGGAATGCGCACTCCATGAGAAGATTCTGTCCAGTTCATTGTTGTACCACAGTAAGCATTTAACAATGGCTGTTGAATGAGTGAATGCATTAGAATCCTAGACTTAACGCTACCTCTATTGTCTTAAGCAAGAAACTGAACCTCGTGTTGCCTCAGTCTCCTTGGTAAGATGGAGACAATTTCTACCTTGCAGGGTTATTCTTGAGATTAAGAAAACACGTGAGAAATGTCTGGCATATATTGAGATATCTGACATATATTAGTTTCCTTCTCACAAAAGTTCATTCACTAGGTCCAATGAGGCCAGAAGTCTTTATTTACATCAGTTGTTTTCTCCTGTGGCTTCACTTTAGAATTACCTAGAGAATTCTTTAGAAGTTCTGAGCTGGGTTCTCACCCCTCGAGATTCTGATTTAATTGGTCTGGTGTGCCGTCCAGACACTGGTAATTTTTAAAGCTCCCCAGGTGGTAGCATATTAGCAGCCAACACTGAAGACCACGATTTCAAGTCATTAGTGGAGGGGGGTGGGGGCAGGGAGGGCTGGCTGTGTGACTATCAGAATCCACTGGAAGCCCTGTAAAACCTGGCCCTTCCAACACCTGGAAATCTCTAGAAGCCAGCTTGGCTTATTTCCTCCAGTACAAATCATCAACTGGCAGACTAGACAGATGGTTATTATTTATCCTTCCTGCTGTGTTAAAAAAAAAAAAATTAGTTCTGCCTCGGGTTTCTCAAACCATTTTTACATGTGCAAACCATTACCTCTTTATATGCTCATAGGTATTAGAAGGGAGAAAGGGAAACTTGAGAGAGACCAGGGAGACTAGCCTGTATTTTCTTCTAATGTAACTTAGAGAAGTGCAGACACCAAAGAGAAACTGGCCTGGAACAAAGACTAGGTTCTAGCTCTTATACTAAAAGGGATAATGTACATGAACAGTGCCCAGAAAATAAACAGTGCCCACATCCTAATTAATGCTGTCTCATTTTCTGGGGAAATGAGATTTAAGATCATATAATAATGATAACACTAATAACAAATAATAATACCTTGCATGGAGCATCTTCCCCGTGTTAAGTATTTTCTCTCAGTAACTTTTTTCTGTTGAATCGCCACAATATTATTGCAGACCGCTGGTGTCATGTCCTTTCCACAACTGACAACGTCAGGATCTGAAAGCTTGCGGTTGGTTAAGGGAAGGACCAGGTTTAGCACTCAGGTCTGACACCAAAGTTTATCTTGCCGCCCTTATGCTACGCACTGCTTCCAGAATCCTTTTAACTCTCAAACTTGATCATTCAGAGTAATTGGAACCTTTTCTCACCGGCAGAAAGCTTTTCTTCCACATACTGGGCGAAATAAGCAGGGGCCAGGTGATGATGGGTTCCCATGGCAAATTTTCAGCTGATTAAATCGGATCTGCCTCAAAGGGGCTGCCTGAACTGGCTATCATGATTCTCATTAAGCATCTATTAAGTCTTACTCTAGCATCTGGGTTAGGTACAGGGGAATAAAGAAATGAAGAGAAGAAATTCCTCCTCCCGTAGGACCTGAAAAGGAATTAGAGGAATAGAACTATATATTCAGTGGCTTTATTTCCTAGGCTCCAAATCAGGGCACCTGGTCCTTCATTTAGTCTAACTGAGTACTTATTCTAATGCTGGGTAATGAAGCTTCAGATATCATGAAGTCACCTTACTTTCATCAAGAGACTGAGGGAGAAGATGCGTCATGGCTCACAGGTACAATATTAAAGGTGTAACAAAAGGCTTTTTCATCTGAAATGTAAGTTAATTTACATGAGCATCCCTATGTAGGTGCTGCTATTATTAGTTAACATTTATTGAGCACTAGCTGTGTGCCAGGAGTTTGCTTTACAGTTTCTTTTCTTTTCTTTTTATTTTTAAATATGAAACTTACTGTCAAATTGGTTTCCATACAACAGCCAGTGCTCATCCCAACAGGTGCCCTCCTCGATGCCCATCGCCCACCCTCCCCTCCCTCCCACCCCCCATCAACCCTCAGTTTGTTCTCAGTTTTTAAGAGACTTTACAGTTTCTAGTCCGTTTAATCTTCACACTAAACTCTGGGCAGCACTATCCAGCTTTTACAGAAGTGGGGACTGAGACACAGTGGTGACAAGGAACCTGCCCAGGGCCACGCAGCTGATAGAGACAGGAGCCGGGACTCCAACCCAAGGCCAGAGCCTCCACTCTCCACCTTTCTGCGCAATGTATTGATTGAACCATTTTTGTTGAAAGTAGTGAGACCCCACTCAGGAACAACAGGTATTTGTTAATGGCATATTTGAACAACGCACTAAACATCTAAACTGAAGTCCCCAGAAATCTGTACTGTGTGGTCATCGCATGGATTTGTGAAACAAATGAGTGAGTCACCCAGTGTGATGGAAGCGGCTAGTGATGAATGGATGATACACACAATAAGCCTAAGAGGATTTCAGCAGAAGAGCCTCATGTCTTTTTCCTGCATCCTAAGGAAATTTCTTCTCTTCGTGAAGGCAGCAGCCTGAGCAAGTAGTATCTGGGCAGTGGAACCCCCTGGGTTAGGAATGATGTCCAAACCTCTTCCTGTACAGCACTTCTGAACACTGAAAGGAGCAAGGAAGGCAAAGGTTTTACCGGAGCCTTGAGGCACACACCTGCGTGGAGAGAGGGGCAGAAGTTCCTGCTTCTCTGTAAAGAGGCAGAACCATGGAAGGAGGGGCCTTGCCACTCTCCAAGCTGCAAAAGCCCTCCTGATTCAAGGCGGCGCTATGGGCTGTTGTCTCTGCTTATCTGAAGGAATCTGCCCAGCATCACCACCAGCATCACTTTTACCTGGAAACTCCTATTCACCCCTCAGGTCCCCAGTTTACGTGTACCTTCCTCCAAGGAGCCTTCTCATATCCTCCACCGCTCTCACCACTACCTCAATATATGTTCAAATATTTTCACATTTTCCTTTGTTGTGTTTCTGGTAGTTTGTAACTGAATAATAACTTGGAGTGTCTGCTTCCCTTTCGTGAGCTCCATCAAGGCAGCTACCGGATCTCTTTTTTTTTTTTTTTTTTAACGTTTATTTATTTTCGAGACAGAGAGAGACAGAGCATGAACGGGGGAGGGTCAGAGAGAGGGAGACACAGAATCTGAAACAGGCTCCAGGCTCTGAGCTGTCAGCACAGAGCCTGACGCGGGGCTTGAACTCACAGACCGCGAGATCATGACCTGAGCCGAAGTCGGTGGCTTAACCGACTGAGCCACCCAGGCGCCCCTGGATCTCTTTTATCTACCAGTAGATCCCTAACACCCAACACAGTGCCAACCCCATAACAGAGCTTCAACATTCTCTTTGCCTCTGTAGGAATGTGTATGTACTAAAATGAAGAGGCCAAACTAAACCCTTCGGTTTTTTTCTTTCTTGTCCAGGAAAGAAAGCAAAAGAAACCTCTGCCACTACCATGCAGGCTGAAGCTGCAAAGATATCTCAAGGCAGAACAGAACATATGGCATGCACCTGGCTACCCAGAGCTTGGGGAAGGGCTTCAACGATCCTTGGCCCTCTATTCTCTGATGCTGGGTGGGGCCCTCCCTTCTGGGTTTTTGATTTCCACCCAACACCTTGATGTCAGGCTATCTTTGACTTTGAGACTCTCTTCCAACAGAGGAGGGAGGAAGACCTCTGAGAGCGTGGGTTGGTTCCTGTCCCAGCTGGTACGCACACAGATCTCTCTCAACACGAGGTGAAGGGCCTGCCATCTGCCCCCAAGAAACTGGACTTGTAGCATGGATACAGGTGTCCTTCCAAAGCCTGTGACCAATCCACCAACTGCCATCAAAATAAAAGATGGTTATGAGACCTATTTTAACATCTTAAGTCCAGCTTCCAGAAACTAAGGGTGACCTTTTCCCCAGACATCACATTTTAAAATGTAATGGGCTCTTTGATTTGAAAAAAAAAAAATCTGGCAAGCAGTTAAAATCCGCTTTAATATTCCCAGCACTTAGCCAAAAGAAGATGCAGACAGAATTGAAAAACAGCCTGAGTTTTTCTGTTGTTGTTGTTTTTTAAATGCCCGGATTAGAACATAATTCATCTTAAAATGACGGGAGGCCTCTTCATGCACTTCACACTTTGAAATATTTTAGAAAATAGTATCCATTTTGGCAAGCCTCTTGCCACGCAAGAAACAACAGCAAATGCTTTTCTCCTTGAGTGTTAAGTCTGTTGTGAATAAGATTATAAAAAATACACTTTGCTCTTTTATTTTGCCTCTTGTTTGAGGATTTTGCTGCATTTCTGCAATAACTGATTCTTCTCACATTCCTGTATAAGCAGCATTCACTGCCCCCATTTTTAGGGAGTGAAATTGAAGCAGAAGTTTGGTAAAGCAAATTTCCTATTTTCCCAGAGAAAATCGTTTCTTCATCCCCTTACTCATTCAGTAAACATGTCTTTAGAACCAAGTATGTGCCAAGCCACTAACAAGACCTTGACGATCCACAAATGACTACCTCACAGACCCGGTCTCTAGAACTCTGGTAGAAGAGAGAGACACTGTAACAATCACAATATCCTGGAATAAGTGCTGGGATGGATAAAGGGGCTACAAAGAATCACCCCTCAATCCACCTGGAGCTTTGGGGATGGCTTCCCACAAGAAGTGAAAAATGTGTTGGGTCTTGAAGGATGTGTAGAAGTCCAACCAATCAAGGCATGAGTGTTAAGAAGGGCTTCTACAACAGAGAGAATAGTATGTATAAAACATAAAGGCATTATTTTTTTTCTGGATTTATGTGGCTGGAAAAAGAGGAGAGAAAAAGATGCATACATAGGGCCGAAAGAAAATAAACAAGGACAAGAACTTGGATGGCCTTATGTGCCAAGTAAGGAATTTGGAATTGATCCTGATAACGTGGGACTAAAACAGTATAGGATGTGTTACTTACTTGTTGGGTTGAGCCTAATTCGGGTCCATACAAATCCCCCCTTTCCCTGCCTTTAGTGGTCAAAGAGATGGTTGAACTATCTGAAGAAATACAAAGTTATTTTATTTTTTTTTTTCAACGTTTATTTATTTTTGGGATAGAGAGAGACAGAGCATGAACGGGGGAGGGGCAGAGAGAGAGGGAGACACAGAATCGGAAACAGGCTCCAGGCTCTGAGCCATCAGCCCAGAGCCTGACGCGGGGCTCGAACTCCCGGACCGCGAGATCGTGACCTGGCTGAAGTCGGACGCTTAACCAACTGCGCCACCCAGGCGCCCCTACAAAGTTATTTTAAACCAGTTTCTCAGATCCAATGACCTCTTTGAATTCTCTACAATCATCCACCAAACTCTATGCATGTGTGCCTTTAGCTGGGTAGATTATCTAAAGTGTTCATCAGATTTCTAAAGTGGTCCAAGGCTCTAAAAAGTAGAGTCCCGTTTATTTACTTCATGAAAACTTTCAGCTGTTACTTAACACTGATTTTATCGGGCAGTGGCTACCGCTTAGCCCTCTGCCATCTTCCTCCTGCAAGGCGCCAGCCTGGATTCCTGCGGTCCCCTCTCCCCTTTCCTCCCTCACCCCCTTCCTCTCCCTGGCTCCACCAGGCACTCAGAGCTTTCTGAAGAGAAATGAGCACCGGTCAGAAAAATACATATATATATATATATATATATCAAAGAGGAATTCTTTTATATTAATCTCTTGGAGCGCCTGGGTGGCGCAGTCAGTTAAGCATCCGACTTCAGCCAGGTCACGATCTCGCGGTCCGTGAGTTCGAGCCCCGCGTCAGGCTCTGGGCTGATGGCTCGGAGCCTGGAGCCTGTTTCCGAATCTGTGTCTCCCTCTCTCTCTGCCCCTCCCCCGTTCATGCTCTGTCTCTCTCTCTGTCCCAAAAATAAATAAACATTGAAAAAAAATTTATATTAATCTCTTAAAATTTGCTGGTTGCTGGTCATCCATATGGGTTCAATTTCATATAGCATTCTATTATTGCAAACAAACCAATTCTTCATATTCCCCAGCAGCAGCTTAATCCGTGTTTGTTAACAAACTCAAAACTTGGTTCCTTACTGCAATTTTTATTTTTTAGAGCTTTGGGATTTTCACAACTTGTATATGAGAAGTTTGAGACAAAGGTACAAAACTGGAGAAATTCAGATACTTGAAAATTGGGGGAAGCACAGATATTATACCAAAGGTAGAGGTATGATTCTATGGCAAATTAGTTAAGATTATTTGGATTGCAATTAATAGAACCAACTCTAACAACGAAATATACTGGAAGGGTAAACAAGCATATTATGCTGCCTAAGGATAGAACTGTAACAGTGTGCCCAATTCAGGGACTTAGACATCATGTCTTCCTATATTTTTTTCTCTTCTCTCTGCCATCAACTTCCTACCCTCTGTCTATCTATCCTTCTAACTATCCATTTATCTGTCTTTCTCAACAGACCATCTTTTTTGCATTTCCAATACACTGAGTGGAAAATCTGCTGCAGTTCCTACCTCCCACACAGAATGACTCTGTTTTTCTATCTCTCTGTCTTTAGCTCTCACAAATAGTTCCCCAGTCACTGGAAAGTGTGTTTATTGGCCCATTTTGCATTATTAGATGCCTCGTCCTGCACCATGCATGTAGATACATGGTAATTCTCTCCACAACCATGTAGATAGACAAGATGGGCAATTCCTGGAAAAGTGGGGTTGATCAGATGAAACAATAGATGCCCACTCTGTCTTCACGATAAGTGACAGAATGTCTTACATGGCATGGCGGGGACTCATTTGTCTACCTGTTCTAAAGGCATCTCTATTTTGTGCAGGGCGCGGGGTTAGAACACCACAATGAGCTGTACATGACCTCTGCACCCTCCTCCTAGTTTTGTGTCTACCATTGACTGTTTGATCTTAGTAAGTCACTTCTATTCCCTGGGCTGCTGCCTCCTTTCTTAAATGAATAGGACAGACAGATCGCAGAGGTGATTTATGCTTTGTTAAAATGAGCCCAGGAGCCTAAGATCATATCAGTGTGGTTACAATCACTTTTCATCAAGAATCTCACACTCATGATGCAGAAGTTTTCCCACCAAGAAATTATAAGCATTGCCTGAAGCCCATCCCCTCGTGTAACCCCACTAGTATAAAATAGAGTAGGATGTCATGAAATGTCTCAGTTACAAAAACCTTTGTTTTGTGTAAATCAGAAATGTAAACTGAATGGAAGTCATGATTTCACTCTTCTCTTAAAACATACACACACACGCGCACTCAACATAGTAGTTTATATCCAGCAAGAATTGGCAGATATGGTCCTATGGCACTGAGGATTTGAAACACATCCTCTAGCTTTACAAAGCCAGACCTTGCAATAAATCTTGCTAGCTGTGTGGCCTCATCTTTGGCCAAGAGACTGGAGGAGCTCTTTGTGGTGAATGTATTGCCAGTGAGATGCCTGTGTTGTTTTGGTAGAAAATTCCAGAAGAGGAGCTGCAACCAGAAAACCCTCCTGCTGAGATTTCAGCCCCCAAAGATCCCCTGAAAGCTTTGAAGGTCAGGCCAATCTCACAGCCTTTCGTGACTCCAATGATGAAGAACGAGCCTGAAGAATATGAGACATGGATTGACAGGTTCAGGAAGCTGGAAAATGCCCTCTACCTGTGTGACCTGACTAATACAGGTGAAGTGGGACGCTTACAGTGGATACACCTTTCTATTTGTGTTCTAGTCTGGAAGTGGACACCTCCTTCTCTCTCACTTCTTGCCAAGTACAGTTTGTATAGAAACCACGTGCACTGGCACTGGGATCACAAGCAGGAAATACAAAGATGAATCAGAATCAGACGTGAATCACCCAGCAGTTTGCTTACAGTTTCTTATGTCTTTGATCCTCCTCCATCAACCCCTGGAGTCCAACCCATAATCCAATCTTGTAAACTCCTGACTGAAACCTTCAGCGTGCCCACTGGCAGGCTGAACCCCAAACTCCTTAGCAAGGCAAAAGCTGGTTCTGTCCACCTGACCAGTCTCTTCTCCTTCAACTCCTTATTCTCTCAGCATATCCTTCCCTGTCATAATGAGGAACTTGTCTTCCTCAAACACGCTATGCTTTCCCCTGTGGCTGCTCTTTTTCTAACCCTATGCCTAGTCTGAGCTGTCCACCTCTCTTCTTCCTACCTTACCCACTGCCAACTCCTCATCTTGTCCGCCTGGCTAGCTCATGCCTAACCTAAACATATTTTATGTTAGAACTCAGGCTTTACTCCTCTGAGACTCCCGGGATTTCCCCAAGAAAGATCTAGGCCAACCTTTATCTGGCCTCCTAGACTTCTTTAACAACCATTATCCTCTTTGATATATTGTATTTTTTTTATCTGGAGACTTACTACAATATCACCAGTAGACTATATTCCTTTTTTAGCTCTAGTACCTTGCATAATTCTATTCAACTTTTTAATTTTTTTTAATGTTTATGTATTTTTGAGAGACAGAGCACAAGTGGGGGAGGGGCAGAGAGAGGGAGACACAGAATCTGAAGCCGGGTCCAGGTTTTGAGCTGTCAGCACAGAGCCCGACGAAGGGCTCAAACCCCGCAAAATGCAAGATCATGCCATGAGCTGAAGCCGGACACTGAACCAACTGAGCCACCCAGGCACCCTTATTCAACTTTTTTTTTTTTTGAGGGAACAAATAAATGAATATAAATACATAAATAAATCCAAGATGGAAGGTGATAAATACCATTACAGTGTGCTATGTCAGCATTCAGAGAAAGGCGAATTCCTTCCTAGTGAGGTGATCCGGGAAGGTTACGCTAGTGTGAAATTAACCGTTAAGGATAAAGCACAGTTTACGTACAAAGGAATGAAATAGACTTTTCTGGCAAAAGTGCGAGTTACCCAAGCAAAGCGTTATGTGTAAAGCTCAGTGTCAGAAGTTTGGTTTGGAAAAAAGACAAGGGCTATTAAGAAGAATGTTACATGATAAAGGTAGAAAATATAAGATTCTAGCTCCAAGAAGATATTAGACGCCAGACCAAGGAATTTGGATTTAGATCAAAGGGAATGAATAGCACTGAGAGTTTCTAAGCAAAGAACTGGTATGATGAAGTCGTATCTCAGAAAGACCCTCAATGGCTACGTGCAGATTTGAGGAGAAATTGAAAGCAGGGAAAGGAGAAAGGAGGCTATTGCAATGTCCTAGTGAAAATGAAGGCCAGGTCAAGGTCAGAAGCCTGGAGAATGGAAAAGAGGGAGCAGATAGAAAAGCACCTGGACTGAAATCATTGTACTTAATTACATTCTGTGTTCATGATGAATTAGTATATTATATGTGGAGCCTAAAGATATGGAGCTCAGGGGCGCCTGGGTGGCTCAGTCGGTTGAGCGTCTGACATCAGCTCAGGTCATGATCTCACAGTTTGTGAGTTTGAGCCCTGCATCGGGCTCTGTGCTGACACCTCGGAGCCTGGAGCCTGCTTCAGATCCTGTGTCTCCCTCTCTCTCTGCCCCTTCCCTGCTCATACTCTGTCTCTCTCTGTCTCTCAAAAATGAACAAACGTTAAAAAAATTAAAAAAAAAAAAAGATATGGAGCTCAGAGAAGTAGAGAGCAGAACAGCGGTTGCCAGGCAAAATGGGAGATGTTGATCCAAGGGTACACACTTTGAGTTATAAGATGAATGAGTTCCAAGGACTTGATGTTCTGCATGAGGACTCTAGCTAACAATGCTGTATTGTATACTTGAGAGTTGCTGTGAGAGTAGAGCTTTAATATGCTCACCACCACAGTAACAACCACAATAAAATGGTAATTGTGTGTGATAAAGGAAACGTTAACTGACCTTAAGGTGGTAAATATTTCCCAATAGATGCATGTATCACATCATCATATTGTACACTTTAAACTTATACAATGGTAGGGGTGCCTGGGTGGCTCAGTCAGTTAAACGTCCGACTTCAGCTCAGGTCATGATCTCGCAGTCCGTGAGTTCAAGCCCCATGTCAGGCTCTGTGCTAACACCTCAGAGCCTGGAGCTCAGATTCTGTGCCTCCCTCTCTCTCTGCTCCTCCCCTGTTCATGCTCTGTCTCTCTCTGTCTCAAAAATAAACAAACGTTAAAAAAATTAAACTTATACAATGGTATATGTCAATTATATCTCAACAAAAGAAATAGCAGATGCATTAGTACTCTCTAGAAGTAATCGTGTAACAGTAGCAATGCGTGTATTTTCATTCACTGTGTGTTCTTGTTTCATTTTGTTTTGAATTTCCAAATCGCTTAACTCTAGACCACATAAAATGTAATTACCATATAATACCCAAGGACTTCAAAGAATTCTACCAAAGAGAGGGGGAGAAAAAAAAATTAATGAAAAACTAATCTAGCTGAATTAGAAAATCATTTATTAAACATGTGTTATCAGCCCAGCACTTTGTTAGAGGCTGGACCAGAAGGAAAACCAGAAAGGATAAGACATGGTATCTGGGGGCACCTCAGTGGCTCAGTAGGTTAAGTGGCCAACTTCAGTTTAGGTTACGATCTCACAGTTTTTGAGTTCTAGCCCTGCATCAGCCTCTGTGCTGACAGCTCAGAACCTGGAGCCTGCTTCTGATTCTGTGTCTCGGTCTTTCTCTGCTCTTCCTCCAGCCTCTCTCTCTCTCTCTCTCTCTCTCTCTCTCTCTCTCTCTCTCTCTC